ACAAAAATAGATTCAAAATGGATGAAAGACCTAAATGTGAGGCAGGAATTCATCAAAATCCTAGAGGAGAACATAGACAGTAACCTCTTTGACCTCAACCACAGCAACTTCTTTCTAGACACATCTTCAAAGGCAAGGGAAACAAAGGCAAAAATTACTTTTGGGACTTCATCAAGATAAAAGGCTTCTGCACAGCAAAGGAAACAGTCAACAAAGCTAAGAGGCAACCCATGGAATGGTAGAAGATATTTGCACATGTCTTATCATGTAAAGGGCTGGTATCCAAGATCTATAAAGAAATTCTCAAACTCAACACCCAAAAAACAAATAATTCAGTCAAGAAATGGGCAGAAGACCTGAACAAACCCTTCTCCAAAGAAGACCTACAAATGGCTAACAGACAAATGAAAAAATGTTCAGCATCACTAGCCATCAGGGAAATACAAATCAAAACCATAATGAGATACCACCTTACACCATTTAGAATGGCCAAAATTAACAAGACAGGAAACAACAAATGTTGGTGAGGATGTGGAGAAGGGGGAACCCTCTTACACTGTTGGTGGGAATGCAAGCTGGTACAGCCACTCTGGAAAACAGTATGGGGTTTCCTCAAGATGTTCAAAATAGAGCTACCCTACAACCCAGCAATTGCACTACTAGATATTTACCCCAGAGATACAGATGTAGTGAAAAGAAGGGGCACATGCACACCAATGTTCATGCCAAACTGTAGAAGGAGCCATGATGTCCTTCAACAAATGAATGGATAAAGAAGATGTGGTTCATATATACAATGGAATATTATTCAGCCATCAAGATGAATACCTACCGTTTGCATCGACATGGATGGGACTGGAGGGGATTATGCTAAGTGAAATAAGTCGAGTAGAGAAAGTCAATTATATGCTTTCACTAATATGTGGAACATAAGGAATAGCACAGAGGACCACAGGGGAAGGGAGGGAAAACTGAAGGGGAAGAAATCAGAGAGGGAGAGGAACCATGAGAGACTCTGGACTCCAGGAACCAAACTGAGGGTTACAGAGGGGAGGGGGGAAGGGGAGGGGGTAACCGAGTGATGGTATTAAGGAGGGCACGTGTTGTGAGCACTGGGTGTTATATGCAATCAATGAATCATTGAACACTACATCAAAAACTAATGATGTACTATATGTTGGCTAACTGAACATAATAAATAAATTAATTCTTAATCCATTAAAAAAATTAATTAATTTAAATAATTTTTTTTTTAAATTGTGGGTCATAACTAAAACAGTACTAAGAAAGAATTATATGGGCTCCTGGGTGGCTTAGACAGTTAAACGTCTGCTTTCTGCTCGGTTCATGATCCCAGGGTCCTGGCATCAGGCCCGGCATTGGACTTCCTGCTCGGTGGGGAGCCTGCTTCCCCTTCTCCTTCTAGTGCTCCCCCAGCTTGTGCTTTCTCTTGCTCTCTCTCCCACTCTCTGTCAAAGAAATGAATAAAATCTTTAAAAAAAAGAAGAAAGAAATTTATAGCACTAAATGTTTTTGTTAGAGAAGAAAAATCTCTAATTGTAAGGTAAGTTCTCACTGTAAGAAACTAGAAAAAAAGAGCAATGAAACCGAAAGCAAAAAGAAGGAAGAAATATAGGATAAATCAATGAAATTGAAAACAAATACACAATGTAGAAAAATCAGAGAAATAGAAAATGTAATCTTTGAAAGATGAATAAAATTGACAAACCCGTAGCAAGACTGACAAAGAAAAAGAGAATCATTGACTTCTACCTCTGAAACTAATAATACACTGTATGTTATTTAATTGAATTTAAATAAAATTAAATTTAAAAAAAGAAAAAAGAGAGACGATACAAATTACCAATATCAGGAATTTAAAAGGAGATGCTATTACAGACCCTGCAGATATAAAAGCGTAAGAGAATACTATAAACAACTGTACACACATAAATTTGACAACTTATTTGAACTGAAGAATTCTTTGAAAAGCACAAACTACCACACCTCACCAATCTGAGATAGTTTGAATAACTCCATAAGCTTCAAAGAAATTGAACTTTTAATTTTTACAATTCAAAAAAGAAATCTCCAGGCCCAGTTGGTTTCCCTGTAATAGTACCCTGATACCAAAATCAGATAAAGTGCAAAAAGGAAAAGAAAACTGCAAACCAATATTCTTTATGGATACTGATGTGAAAATTCTTCACAAAATGTTAGCAAATAGAACTCAGCAATATATAAAAAGAATTATACACCTTGATCATGTAAGGTTTTATTCCAAGGATACAAAGACAGTTCAACATTCAAAAATCAATGTAATCCACCATATTAGCAGGCTAAAGAAAAAAAATCACATGATCAAAATCAACTGATGCAGAAAAGGCATCTAACAAAATTCAACTCTTATTTATGATTTAAAACTCTTAAAGAACTAGATAGAAATAGAGGTAAACTTATATACTATGTGACTCCATCTGTACAACATTTTCAAGGTAACAAAACTATGGATATGGGAAACAAATTAGTGATGGCCAGTGTTTAAGGGTTGGGGGAAGATGATGAGTAGGAATGAAGGGGGTAGCAGAAGAGAGATCTTTGTAGTGATAGAGGGGTTTCTTGTCTTGACTGGAGTGGTAGTTACACAAATATACACAAGTGATAAAATGGCATAAAGATATGCCCACAAATGATATCAATGTCAATTTCCTGAGTTTGATATTATGTAAAATATAATTGTTGGAGGAAACTGGGTAAACCTCTCTGTATCATTTTTGCAACTTCCTGTGAATCCCTAATTATCTCACAATAAAGGTTTTTTAAGAAAAAGTAATGGGCAAAAAAAATAAAATGGGCATTTTTATTGGATTACATTAAATTTATAAATTACCTTAGGGAGAATAATATATTTTGTTGACAGTTACTATCCAATAATAAGGAATGTCTTTAAATTTTTCAAGGCTATTTTTGTGTCTGAGTTTAAAGTTTTCTCATAAAGGCTTCTAAACCTTTCTAGTTAAATTGTTATTTCTAAGTATTTCTCTTTTTGTTTCTGTTCTTAACAGAAGTTTCTTCCTCCACTAACCAATTATTGTATTTGTGAAATCAAGGCTACTAATACCCTGCTACCATACTGACATATTTTGTTTAAGTTAGTCTTATAAGGTTTTCCAAATGTACCATCATATCATCTACAAATAGAAATAGTTTTACTTCTTCATTTCCAACTATTATTCTTCTATTTTCCCTTACCTGAATGCATTAGCTTTCAGTACAATTCACATAACTCTAAAGGAAAGGAACACACCATGAGTGATTTACCACAGACCTAAACCCTGGCCTTGGGGATGTGTTATTTTCTCCCTAATTAGGTCATAGTTATACATCCAGGAAGTTTTGAGGCTTACCTGAAATCCCATGGGTAGGTCTCTCAACTTGCATCAAGAGAGAATATGCCCCTTCCTGAGTTCCTGACCCTAATTCTCTAATACAATTCTCTAATAAATTTGTGTATGCAGATACCTATGGGACTTGGTGCAGGAATGATCCTCAGATAAGGGAGGTCACAATGGACAGCAGATCTGGACCTCCTTTTTTTTTTTTACCATGATCTCCTTCATAAAAGAGCAAGAAAGTATGGTCTCTCTGAAGACAATCCTCTAGAAGTGATTAGCATTACTTCTTACCTAACCTTCCTTTTCTTGGAACATTTTATTCTATTTTTCTCAGGGCCACTAAGGAATATACAATATAAATTAGGGAAAATCAACAATTAACAAGATGTACATTTAATACACAGGGACCTACTGTGGTCCCAACCCTGGGTAACTTACCAATAGTAGTTGCATAAGAACAGCTTTTTGATTTTCCTAAAATCCTACCAGAGCTGCCAGCTTCAGGGAAGAGATGCATTAACTCATCCTCTCTTTTGTAAATGTTATAGACTTTTGTTTCTCCTCCATCCATCATTCTATGAAGCAGCAGTTGAAACCTGAGCACAGATACCAAGGCATACAAACAGTGCAGGTAGATGAATAGAATCAGTAGGGGCGCCTGGGTGGCTCAGTTGGTTAAGCAACCGCCTTTGGCTCAGGTCATGATCCTGGAGTCCCGGGATCGAGTCCCGCATCAGGCTCCCTGCTCAGCGGGGAGTCCGCTTCTCCCTCTGACCCTCCCTCTCTCATGTGCTCTTTCTCTCTCATTCTCTCTCTCAAATAAATAAATAAAATCTTTTAAAAATTAGGAAAAAAAAGAATAGAATTGGTAGTCCCTGTTATCTGAGCTTTCTTACTATATGCAACATATCAACTCTGTAAACCCGAGTTTCTTCATCTATAAAATGAGCAGAATATCCATTTGAGATTGTTGGGAGGATTAGAGATAAGGTATGTACATATATAAAGTATAGTATATCCTGCTTAAAACCTTCCAAATGTTTTTCACTTAGAGAAAAATCTAAACTCCTTACCATGGTCTGTATGTTCTGGCCCCAGCTTGGCTCTGGGATCTCACTTCCACCTCACACCATCCTCTAGGCACATTGACCTCCTTTATGTTCTTCGGACATAAGCTTGTTCCCACATCTGTGTTTTGTTCTATGTCCAGCATTCTCTAACTCCAGAACTTCACATGATGGCTCTCTCCTGTCATTCAGGTTTCCATGAGGCTTTTTCTGACCACCCAGTCTAAAGGAGCATTCCCCCAGACACTTTCCCTCACCATGGTTTTTTTTTTTTTACTTCATATTAGTTAATCCTACCTGAATTATCTCGTTCATTTATTTGTGTTTTTACAAGGGCAAGAAATGTGTCTGTCTTGTTTCTCACTCTCTAACAGTGTCATTTCCTTCCTTCCTTCAATCTTCCCAATGCCCAGATCTTTCCATAGCCAACAGGCTACATTTTGGGGTGGGCCCAGACTAATCCAGAATTTAAAATCCTGATTAGGTCTCTTCACAACATGTAACCTGGCTTCACCCTAACTAGAGACAGTGACTCTCATTTTTTTTTTTTTTTTTTTTTTTTTTTTTAGTGACACAAAGCTGCTTTTACCCAAGGGAGGGTCTGAACAGTTCAGCATCCATTTTTGGCCCAGTCACCCACAGGCACTGGTGTTAGACACCTCTTCCAATGGAAAACAGAAATTAGGCTGGGCTTAGGAGTATAGTCTGTTACTCTTGGAATAGTTAAACGTGCTTTGAGTGGAGAAGCATAAATAAAGAGACACAGCCAAGGGGAAAGTGTTATATTTAAAACTCCTCCCCTTCATTTTCTTCTTCAAATGAATCAGTCCCCACTTCTTCATAATCCTTCTCCAGAGCAGCCAGGTCCTCCCTGGCCTCAGAAAATTCTCCTTCTTCCATTCCCTCTCCAACATACCAATGCACAAAGGCCCGCTTGGCGTACATGAGGTCAAACTTGTGGTCCAGGCGGGCCCAGGCCTCCGCAATTGCAGTAGTGTTGCTCAGCATGCAAACAGCCCGCTGAACTTTGGCCAGGTCCCCTCCTGGCACCACTGTGGGTGGCTGATAGTTGATGCCCACCTGAGGAACAGAGAAAGAAGAGGAGCAAGAAAAGAAAATGCAGAGCAGCCAAAGGATAACTCAAGATGGGTTGGTTATCTTGGTAACATGGTGTGGTAGCAAGACACAGTCATGGGGTGGGAATGGGAGCAAGCCTAGATGTGAAAAGAAGGAACCAAAAGGTTTGAGAAACAGACAGGTAGAGAGAAGTGAGTGTTGAAGAGAAATTAAAAGTGAGTAGAACTGGGTGCAGGCAAATTCAAGGGAAGGGTTATAAAATCTAAAGACTGCAAAAGACTAGCTGGAATTTAAATAAAAACTTGGAAGAAAAAATAAAAACTGCAAAAGAAAAGGAGGAGAACAGGGATGCCTGGGTGGCTCAGTCAGTTAAGTGTCTGTCTTTGGCTCAGGTCATGACCCCAGGGTCCTGGGATCGAGTCCCACGTCAGGCTCCTTGCTCAGTGGGGAGCCTACTTCTCCCTCTGCCTGCCACTCCCCTGCTTGTGAGCTCTTTCTCTCTCTCCCCCCACCACCCCAACAAATAAATAAATAAATAAAATCTTTTAAGAAAAGGAAAGAAGGAGAACAGAGCTGGTAATAGGTAGAAATGTTAGTGGGGGAGATTCAAGTAGACAAATGAGGGTAATGAATGAGATTATTATTAAGAGGGGTGTACACAACATGTTTATCTTGAAAAGGGAAATAGATCTCCTTTATAGGCAAATTAATTTCTAGACTTGAAGTTTACTCTTTTCCACACGGTCATCTAAAGTTTCTTAGTTATACTGTCAACAAATTTAGGGAAATTTCTCTGCCAAGGACAGAGGGCTGTTTAAAGATCAGGGAGGGGGGTGGGGGGATGGGGTAACTGGGTGATGAGAATTAAAGAGGGCACGTGATATGATAAGCATGGGTGTTATATTCAGCTAATGAATCACTGAACATTATATCAAAAACTAATGATGTACTATACCTTGGCTAATTGAATTTAAATTTAAAAAAAAAAGATCATGGAGATAATCCAGAGCAATAAATTTAAAAATCCAAAAGGTCCTGGCGATGGTGTTAGTGTTAACCTGGCCCCATGTCTCAGGGGAGTGAGGCTTGTCAGAAGAAAAGCAAGGACTTCAATCAAAGAAAGTTAATTAAAACTCTTGCCTGGACAAGTCAACTTCCCAAGATATGGTAGCATGGCAGGGTCCTCTAAGCTAACCCTAGCCCAATCTGATGTTAGGGGCACTGAGAAATCTCCCTTCTCCCCATACACATATCCCAAACCAAAGCCAATCCCAGAAAACTGGAAGAAGTCGAAGGTAACAAACTGTGATAATATTTATGGGACGCTGAGAACCACAGTACTATCCAAAAAATACTCTCCTACCCAGGTCATCATGCCTTATTTGTCAGCCTCTTAATTTCATAGCTTTAAAATGCATGTTCTCTTGAGATGTAGGTAGGAGTTACAGCAGGCTATGTAGCCAAGTGTGTAGCCCATTAAATGAATTCACAATCATCTATCATTCCTCTTAGACAAAAGTAGTATCTTAGTGGTAGAGGCGAGGCTGTGACAGGGGCAAAGGACCAAAAATGAGAATGGGATGGGCAATGAATATAAACTTTGCTGTATCACATATTTTGCTAGATCTGACCCTGACCAGCAAAAAACTTTATCCCTTCAACTGAGTCAAATAGGGACAAACTCCCTTGGGGAGGATGTGAGAGGATGAAGTTCAACAAACATAAGCTTTTCCAAAAAGCAGCTAAAGATGCTGGCCCTACCCATCTTTCTGGACATAATCCCCAAACTTCAGCTTAAAATAGAAGAGAGAGAATGCGGGGCATCTCCTTTTTGTTAACTTCCCCACCACCCTCACATCTCATTTTTTTCTTTTTTCCTATTCATTTTCCTACTAGCTTGTTTTGTTGTTTCCATTTTAAAAATTTAGTATATGTGCTGCTGAAGTGAGCACTCCATTTTAAAAATTTAAAAAGACTCCATATTTTGGAAGATCTTGAGAATTTTCACATGAATGACCAAAACTGATCCATAAAAATAGGTGTAGTCTAGGGGGGGAAAGATTGTGTATATAGCTAGGAGTATAGCAGTGAGGGAAAATGCTACAAAAGGAGATCAGCTAGGTCAAAGCCTCATATGCAAATAGGTCAGTCAAGAGACTGGCACATGATGCCTTGTTTTTGTAAGCACCATCAGGGAAAAACAGACATGCTCATCTCTGTATATCTAGCAACTGGTATAACCACCCCTGGTGCTGAGTGAACCTCTGAACTATTAAAGGCATGGCTGGGGGTTACTAATTAATGTAAATGATGGTAATTATTTTGATAATGGAATCTGATTAAAGACCATGGGAACACAGGACAAAGTGGTCGAACAGTTCACATGCACAGAGCCAGCTGTATGTCTTGCCAGTGCAACTCAAAGGAGTGACTTCTAACATTCAACATTCACTAGTCCTGAGATCCATGGGTTTTCCCTGGCTATTGTACCTGCCCACTAATCCTCAGAGTCTGGCATTTTCCAGATTGCGGACACCTGATCTACAACAGGCTTCCTCAGCTTCTTCTTACTCCTGGTTAATGGAAAATGTCAGGGCATCACAAAACAAGTGACTCATAATCCTATAGTAACCATAAAATTTCTTATCCTCACTCTAAGTTAGTTAAGACTTACAGGATGAATATTTAACTTTTCAAAATAAATTGGGAGAGGAACACATCTTTTGTTAAAGGAGGGAATTATATCTCTCTGGTAACTTGAATTAATATGGTTAACTCCATTCTCTAATCTATTGTCAGATTACATCTACCTCCACTCATTCATCCTATTCATCCCATTTGCCTGCATGGGTTCTTTCCAGCCTGCTCAGTCCTCCTTACTAGAGAAAAGCCCTTTTCTTCCTGACCTTTGAGATGCTTGCAGATGTTAGGGTTCAGGAGCAGTAAGAGCCTTCTCCCTACCGCAGTATTGCCCCTCTGAGTATTGCAATTGTCCTCCTCCCGCTTCTTTCAATAATCCTTTCAAATAAAGTCTCTCCTTACCTAAAATGAATGAACTAATGAAATTACGGTTATATTTGTCTTAAGCCCTCCTCCCATATCATTCCATGAAGCCTGAAGCTCCCATGGAATTGTATGTCTAAGACCCTGGAATTTACACATCTTCCTCCCCCATCCCTGGTAATCTCCCTCTGCTTCTCTATTTGTCTCTCTTCTCCCTAAGTCATCAGCTCTCACCTTAAAGCCTGTGGGACACCAATCTACAAACTGAATAGTCCTCTTGGTTTTGATGGCAGCAATAGCAACATTCACATCCTTAGGCACCACGTCCCCCCGGTAGAGCATGCAGCAGGCCATGTACTTCCCATGTCTTGGGTCACATTTCACCATCTGACTGTTGGGCTCAAAGCAGGAGCTGGTTATCTCAGCCACGGAGAGTTGTTCATGATAGGCTTTCTCAGCAGATATAATGGGTGCATAAGTGACCAGTGGGAAGTGGATGCGGGGGTAGGGCACCAGGTTGGTCTGGAACTCAGTGAGGTCCACATTAAGGGCCCCATCAAAGCGGAGAGAGGCAGTGATGGAAGACACAATCTGGCTGATGAGGCGGTTGAGATTGGTATAGGTGGGGCGCTCGATGTCTAGGTTCCTGCGGCAGATGTCATAGATAGCTTCATTATCCACCATAAAAGCACAATCTGAATGTTCCAGTGTGGTGTGAGTGGTCAGAATGGAGTTGTAGGGCTCCACCACTGCAGTGGAGACCTGAGGGGCTGGGTAGATAGCAAACTCTAGCTTGGACTTCTTGCCATAATCCAGGGAGAGCCGTTCCATCAGCAGAGAAGTAAAGCCAGAGCCAGTGCCCCCACCAAAACTGTGGAAGATCAGAAAGCCCTGCAAGCCAGAGCAGGCATCTGTCTGGGGAGAGCAGAGCATGAGAAGAAATGATGAAGACAAGTTTACAAGAATACCCTCATGTCAACAAAGGCAGGCAATCCTCTCTATCTTCCCCACTCTATTCCTCAACATTTTTATGTAGGTAAAATCAAAACAGCCTTGAAGAAGTAAGATAAAAGGAGTTGGGTTGATCTTGAGAGGACTAGCTAAAATATATAGGGTGGCAAACAGCACAGGTACGTGCCACTAGGTACATGGAAGTTTCCAGCCCAGTGGCTTGGTTGAACCAGGAGTAAGAGTTTCAGAACCACAATGATTAATAACTTTGCCCTTTGGGAACCCCAACTCCTTGCCCATTTTCCCTGCCTTCTCACTGGTTTTGTGGGAGCTGCTGAAAGGAGTCTTGAAAAGTGGCTCAGGGTACCAATTTCAGAAATATAAATGGAGTCAGAGAACCTGAGTTTTAGTATCAATTTTGTCATTTCCCAGTTGTAAAAACTTGAGCAAGTTATTGAAACTCTCCAGATTTCTGTTTCTTCCTGACTACAGTAAGGCAATAAAAAATATACTCATCTCTAAAGTTATTGTGATTATCAAATGAGATAGCATGATATGCTGAGCAAGGACTTGATACATAGTAAGTACTCAATGTTACCTCTTATCAGAACTAAAGGAATTCATACAGTCACAAATTTTCCCATTGGGTATGATCTATGATACTGGTTCTGAACTTCAGGGGCCCACACACAGCTTTGAGACAGATAACCCCTATGAGCCCTCCACTAAACAGAAAAAGTGAACATGTACAAAAATGTGGCATCCTTAGCTCCCAAAAATCCCTGATCAAGTCCAACCATTTCCATTGTAAAGATAAGGAAATGAAAGCTCAAAGAGATAAAGTGGCCCACCCTACAACTCAGAGCTTTCTAGACAAAACAACCTGATTCAAATTCTAACTCTGCCACTTTCTAGTTGTGTGACCCAGGCTAAATTATTAAGCCACCCTGGCCCTCAATTTCTTCATCTGTAAAGTACAGGGAAACGACTTTCTCTTTCTCTGTATCATTATTAAGGGAATTAAGTGAAGGAACGTATCTAATTGACATTTGTAATGGCATTTGTAAGTGCTCAAATGTATCAATAATCTCTTCCTCTTCTCTTCCAAGTTAAATTCTGTGTTAACCTATTCTTCCAACAAGCAAAGAGCTAGCCTTCCTTATACCTGGAATTTCCCCCAGATACTACCATAGAGTATCAATAAGAATTAGTAGGGCATTGGCCTGTAGGGTAGTTCATGATGTCCAGGTAGAGGAAGGGGCATCATCACTGTGAATGCTTCTTACAGAACATAAGCAAAAGTTCCCAAATCTTAGGAGCTCTATTCTGTAGCCAGGGGTCATGTGCCTCCACTGATTCTGTTCAGGCTTAGGCCTGTCCATTTTAGCCTGACTCATCAATTCCCTACCCTTGTTAATACTTACCAGCTTCCGTATGCGGTCCAGCACCAGGTCGATGCTCTCCTTGCCCACTGTGTAGTGGCCCCGGGCATAGTTGTTAGCTGCATCCTCCTTCCCTGTGATCAACTGCTCTGGATGGAAGAGCTGACGGTAGGTTCCTGCCCGAACTTCATCTACCAAGAGACAGAAACCATCCGGTCTTACTACCTTGTTTCTAGAGGAGATGCGTCCCTCATTAAATATCATATAATACTTTTCTGGGTCTCCATTTCCTCTGCCTGTAAAACTCCACTGAGGTAAAACCAGACAACCCTATAATAAATCTGCAAAAGGTTAAGAGAATTCCAGGGTAACATAGGCACTAATAGAACCAGAAGCCTGTGACTCAAGTAGGCAAAGAGAAGCTTTCCTGCTCTGCTGGCAGGAACTTTTAAAAGCATCAGGTTCACAAAGTTCACCAAACACCAAAGTTGTTTGCCCCTCTTTCCTTCCACTTTGGCCCCTCCAGTCTTCCTTTTTATTTTTTTTCTTTCATGCTGCAAGTCTACCCAAAAGTTTAACCCAATTTTACTTGCACTAAAATGTTCTAGGGATACAGAGAAAGATTCCAGGTGATCTGCTTTCCCAGGAATTGTCCCACCCCTAACCTAATATGTCAGGCACTAGAGATATTTTAGAATGACTTTGAAGCAGAGCTATGCTCCAGATTCTAGAAGAGCAGGAACCCTAGAGAGGGTGGCTATTCAGCTCAACTCCAAGGGTCCACACAAAGTAGATATATGGCAGATCAAGATGTATCAAGGCCCAACTACATGTTCTTTTCTTCAGAGTTCCTCTACGCCCCCACCCAGGGAAATCATCTATTTGCATAGTGCCTGGGAGGGTAATTTGCACAATTTGTATTTGTACAAAGTATCCAAGGGTTGTGTACCTGTTGCCCCTAGAAATTAGTGTTTAGGCATTACAGACATTAGCCCAGATATCTCTGTGAAACTTACCCATCCCTTGCTTGGTGAACAAGCCTTGAAGCTAAGGAAATCCTGATGTTGAGCTGCGGATTGACCCAGGAGTCAGACCCAAGGGAAGTGATATTAGGGTGGCAGGGAGGGGGACTCAAGGGAAAGGTGAAGCACCAAGAACCCTGTCTCAACACAAATCAGAAGTCTTGTTTTCTAGGATCCCGAAGAGGTTCATTCTAGAACTATAGCAACCTGTGGCTGTAAGAGAATGTGTCTGCTATTATTCCATTTTTTGTAAGATATGCAAGGTTATGCCAGACCCATGAGAAAAGACTGCAATTATTAGAGAATCAGAAACCTATACTTTGGAAAATTGACTATTTGGAGACCTCTCATAATTCCTAAAATTATTTTTATTTTTTACTCTTAGCATATAGTTAAGAATCTTGACAATTTGGATCTTTCTCAGCAGGTTTAAGGGGTTTAAGTACAGAGTATTTTGTTCGGCATAGGTTACAGCTACAATGGGGGAACAGAGATCTGTGATTCCTATTGTAAGACACCCCCAGACTGTGGAGATTTCAAGAAACTAACAGAAATAAGTGTGGGTGGGGAGGTTCTAGCTGAGCCACGCCCCCCCCTTCCAATTAGAGATTCTGCTTCCTTAGCTATTATGGACCAAAGGCTCTGCAGCTTCGTGTTGTTTTCTGTGGAAAGGATCCTAGCCCATACTCACCTACTACAGTAGGCTCCAGATCTACCATGACAGCCCGAGGCACATGTTTCCCATTGCCAGTCTCACTGAAAAAGGTGGTGAATGAGTCATCGTCGTTGACCTTGCTGGCCTGGACACTAAAGGTGCCATCCGCCTGGATGCCGTGTTCCAGACAGAAGAGCTCCCAGCAGGCATTGCCAATCTGAACTCCGGCTTGACCCACGTGGACTGATATGCACTCCCGCTGTGAGGAGAGTGCAGAATCGAGGTCAGAGTCCTAGGCCTTCGTCATGCCCTTATGCTATATCCTGCACATCTGAGGACTTGTCTCTCCCTGTCATTCAACTCGCAGGATATCCGTCCCTACAACCACGCCATATAAAACCAAATGGTGTCTGAGGTGTCGGGTGTCTGGGGGCCACTGCCTCTGGACTGAGACTTGGCTCTGAGGCTTGCTCTAAAAGTTGTTTCCCAAGGTTAATCCTTTGTGTCAAGAAAAGGAAAAAGAGGACAGCTATACTGATAAAACAAGGGGCTAAGTCCAAACCATGAAATTCCTGTACTGATGAAGGAGGTCAAAGGGTGAACCAAGGATAACAGCAGAAACTGTCCATAAATTCACTACCATACATATTCAGCATTAGGCAGCATTCATATTCATGCCTAAACTCTGACCTTCCTAGACAACAGCCCCTCTCAATCTCTCTCTTTCTCCCTCTCTTTCCCCCCTCCCTTTCCCCCTCTCTTTCTCATGCACGCACACGCACACACACGCACACACACATGCTCACACGCTCAGAATATCATAGAGCAGATAAACACTCATGGAAGGAAAATACTTTGTAAGTAGGTGTCATGGATGTCTTTAGTATTCTGGTTACAAATGTAGGAAGAAGAAAGGATTGTTACATCAGCAAAGGAGAAGTGGGAGTGTATAAATTAGGCTCTTCCTGAAGTTGGAAAATTTCTTTGTAGCCACCATAATCTGCTCCTTTGCCTCTGTCAGGCCACATATTAAAGCTGACCTTTGAGGGTCCTTACCTCTTTGTTACTCTGGTATGAAGCCATAATTACCTGATTGGTCATAGTACTAATAGTTGAGGATGAGAATGAGTGCGTGTGTGTGTGTGTGTGTGTGTGTGTGTGCATGAGAGAGAAAGAGAGAGAGAGTGTGTGTGTGTAATAACAAAAGCTGGGGTTTTACCAGAAAGCATGGCCGCATCACCTCCATATATCCCACCTGTGAGGAAGCAGTGGCCAGCACACATGGCTCTGTGCCTGTGATGCCTGCTAGAGCCCAGCCGGGAAGCATGTGCTTCATCCATGGGTTCTATTCTTATCCATGACCTGACCTGGCATTTTCCAGCTAGGTAACCCAAGCCAGAAGAAGAGCCTCCAGAGAATTTGGCTGGGCATTGAAACACACGGAGTCAGAGGGAACTCGGAGGTTCTCTGGGCATGGGAACAGGGCAGCTGCCCCAAATAACACCTCAAAGAGCCAGAGGTGCCAGGACCCATTACTCCCTAATTTAGTTTTAGAACTGAGCACCTACCCTACACCTGTCTCTATGCCCTTGCCTTGGGGAGCATAGGGCACAGGTGTTCACAGCAGCCAGTAACAAAAGTAGCCCTATCTGGGAATACAACCCAGCTATATTTCCATGACTCTGGTGGCCAAAGAAAGGTTTCACTCACAAAGTTGTCCACACCCCAGGGTTTAAATCTCGCCTTCTCCATTTACTTGCTGTGCTGTGTGACCTTGGCTGAGTTAACTAACTTCACCTCATATGAAAATAATGAGTTAGCCATGATTATAGTTGTTTTTGCCCTTACCGTTATCATTTTCATTATGATATACCTTGTAGGTTCTCCACCCAGAAACACAGGTGGAAAGTTAGAGAATCCAGGTCCCCATTCTACTCACCTTTACTATGAAGTCTATTTTCTGCCTTCACCTTAGGTCTTAATTCAGACTTTAAAAAAGTGTCCTACACCCAGGAACCACCCCACAACCAGCGTGTTATCAATCAGTCCACATCTTTCACATCCAGGTAGCCATGGCTTCCTAAAGAGGTATCTAAAGCTGATGGGACTTTGGAGAGACCTAAAAAAAAAAAAAAAAAAGTCTGATCCTATGTATCACCTTCTAGGTGACAGCATCTTCTGTGGCCCTGACCCTCAGTCCTTGGAACCTTGCACCTCTGCACCAACCACCACCACACCCCAACTATCCTCCAGGCCTATCTGTGGTGCTATTTGCACTCATCAGCCCTTCCTTCTGGAACACTCTTTTTCAGCAAGAATGCAGGGATATTTCAGAAAGATTGAAGGTCACAGGAGGAAGAGTAAAGGCTCTTTTGCACCAGAAAACTACCAATATGGTGATATTAATATCAGCCTCTTTTGATATCCCCTTTAATCTCACACACACTGATAAATATGCCAGTCTTCACAAACTCTCTCTCTCTCTCTCTCTCACACACACATACACACCCCTTAGGAAGAGCTATTTTCCCTGTTAAACTAATTTAGAGTAATTGGAAGTATAAAAGGGGCTCAGAAATAACTGATACGTTCATAGATGCTTCCAAAACCCAAAAGCGGCTACACCAATCAAGAGAAAAGGAAGATTCCCTCAATACCATTCCCCACTAACAGGAACCAGGGCTCCTGGGAGAAATGAAGAGTTCTAGGTGTGGGGCAAGGAATATACAAGATGAGCCTGGAACATCTTATGGTGCCTGAAAGCACAGAAGCTAACACAGACTGGGATGATGTCAAAAGATCTCAGAAACCAACTTGAAGAAGCTCCCACTGCCAAAGATGAGACAGTCTGAGCATCAAAAAGAAGAAGAATGGTACTTGATTGCAACAGGATGTATATAAAAATCCACAACTCCTTAGTGTTATTAAGAAAAGAAAACAAAACTCATTTGTCCACAAACAGCACTGTTGATGAGGGAAAGCTCTCTTTTTAAACTGAAGAATGTCAGCTAATAAATGTACAAGAAATGATATATTAAGAAATGTTGCCATATTACAGTTCTTAATTACATAATTGATTTGGTCAAAGATGCCAACACCATTAAGTGAAAGGTTGATGGGAAAAGAAATGGATATTCAAATAGCGCCAAAAAATCACTGTTACTTACAGGTTACGAGGGGAAAAGTAACCACAACAGTTACTAGCCAAACACTGGGAACAATCTTAACAGTACTGATAGTGAGAAAACCAGACATTAAGAACCTCCTTATGTGATACAACATGACATACACAACACCACCCATGAAGAATTCTTGTACTTAGCCTTGGGATGCCCAGGTGGCTCAGCTGGTCAAGTGTCCAACTCCTGATTTTGGCTCAAGTCATGATCTCAGGGTTGTGAGACTGAGCCCTGCATCGGGCTCTGCACTGGGCCTGAAGCCTGCCTAGGATTCTCTCTCTCCCTCTCCTTCTGCCCCTCCCCGCCCCACTCAGTCTTGCGCATGCACTCACTCTCTCTCTCTAAAAAAAACAAAAACAAAACAAACAACAACAGGGCGCCTGGGTGGCTCAGTTGGTTAGGCGACTGCCTTCGGCTCAGGTCATGATCCTGGAGTCCCGGGATCGAGTCCCACATCGGGCTCCCTGCTCAGCGGGGAGTCTGCTTCTCCCTCTGACCCTCTTCCCTCTCATGCTCTCTATCTCTCATTCTCTCTCTCTCAAATAAATAAATAAAATCTTTAAAAAAAAAAAACAAACAAACAACAAAAAAACTCATCCTTAATCTATTAAACACTTTAAATTTAGTTTCCACATTACAGAAAACACCAGGATCAGAGTGATAAGTGACATATTGAGAAAACAATAAAATAAATCCAGAAGGTGAAACATTCTACAGGGCAACTGATACAATCTTTTTAGTTCATAAAAAATAAAGATAATAGGAGAGATTGTTCCATATCAAAAGAAACTCCAGAAACAGAAATCCACATGTAGTATGTGCATTTTGCCTGAATTCTGGTTTGAACAAATCAAAATTATTTGGGGGACAAAAAGAGAAATTGATTAATTTTGTTAAGCATGATAATGAAAGTATAGTTAGGTATGACAATATCCTTATTTTTTAGAGTCACTTTTTTTTAATTATGTTCAGTTAGCCAACATATAGTACATCATTAGTTTTTGAGGGTCACTTTAAAGCATTTGGGGCAAAATGCCATGATGTCTGTATTTTACCTTAAAATACTTCCACAAACACAGCAGGTAAAGTAAAAATGGCAGAAAAATAATTATTATTATTAAATCTAGATTATATATGTATGGGTGGCATTATAGTACTATTCCAGATGTTTAAATTTTTTCATACTAAAAAGAAAAAAATTAAAGAACGGAACTAGAGGAAGAATGGGAGTAAAGATTCCACTCACCATAATTACCTTATCCTGCAGGGCCCAGGCTCTTCCTGTCCCATTTCACTTAGTCATTTATTCAACTAACAATATTAAGAACGAATTTGTCAGGGCACTGAGCTAGCCTTCTCCAGTCACCGCCGGATCACCCTCCCCATCTTCCTCCCTAGAAGTTCTACATAGATAAACACAGAGCAGACCCAGTGCTGATAGCCTTGTGAGGTCACCCCTCATGCCGAAGAGGGGTCATCCATCTGGCATAACCAGGGATGTTATGTCAACTGTCAATGTTTAGGACCCTAGAACCAGACTGGCCTCATGGATCACCAAGTATGATTCCCTCCCCATTTTACAGATGAAAAATCTGAGGCTCAGAAAGGTAAAGGGACAGATTCAAGATTTCACAGCTCTGCAGCAAGAGCCCAGACTGGAATCCAGGTCTTCTGACCTCAGCCTGAGTTCTTCCCTTTATACAACACAACCTCCAGCCTCACTTGCACTCTGAATTTCCAGGGTCCTGGGATATGCCCACATCTACATCAATGCAAGCCTGAGAGTGTATATAGCAAGGCCAAGCTTGTATAGCAAAACTCCAAATGGAAAAAAGCTCCAGTGCAGAGAGAAACTGAGAATGGCTTATGGTGGTAGCCTCTTTGAAAATGGGTCATCCTTCTCTGATAGAACCAGGAATCTGTTTCTCAGGGCTGGTGTGTACAAGAAGAGGGAGGGGGCCGAAGTATAGAAGCAGCTGACCCAGCAGAGGATATTTAAGTCCTAAATTTGTTCCAAACTCAGATTTCAGATTCCCCTCTCTAGCCAATCAGAGCTCATGTTTTCTCTCTCACGCTATTT